TAAATGTATACCTTGTTAATCTAACCTTTCATTTATATAATAGAAAGAATGCCCACGGGACGTTTTAATTGTTGCATCATAAAATTAGTATCATATTTTATAACAAAATGTATCTTTTTATATGTATTATTCTTTATATACTGTGTATATGTGTGTGTGTGTGTGTATATATGTATGTATATATATATATATATATATATATATATACACACACACACACACACTCACTGGCCACTTTAGTAGGAACACTTGTTCAATTGCTTGGTAACACAAACTGCTAATTAACCAATTACATGGCAGCAAATCAATGCATTTAGGCATCTAGATGTGATGAAGTTCAAACAAAGCATCAGAATGGGAAAGAGAGAGGATTTAAGTGACTTTGAACATGTTCATGGTTGTTGGTGCCAGACGGGCTGGTCTGAGTATTTAAAAAAAACTGCTGATCTACTGAGATTTTCACACACAATCATCTCTAGGGTTTACAGAGAATGGTCCGAAAAAGAGAAAATATCCAGTGAGCGGTAGTTGTGTGGACGAAAATGCTTTGTGGATGTCAGAGGTCAGAGCAGAATAGGAGGCAGACTGGTTGCTGTGACATTCAGACGGTAGGGTCAGAATTTGGTGTAAACAACATGATAGCCTGGATCCATCCTACCTTGTATCAATGGTTCGGGGTGCTGGTGGTGTAATGTGTGGGGGAGATTTTCTTGGCACTAGCAAGGTGTACCTAATAAAGTGGCCAGTGAGTGTAGTGTACACATATGGCATTCATTTTATGGCGTGACTCTTAAAGAGTCACATGGGCATTCTTTCTATTTTATGAAATTATTTGTTTCAGGGACTAAGTTCCGCTTACATGTTTTCACTCTGGCCATTGTAATACTATATTTCATTTATATATACAGTATGTAGCACCCTCCTAGAATTGTGTAGATATTTTTTTCTATAAATAAGCTGTTAGGTAAATGTATTTAGTTCCTCTGTAATCAATGTAGCAGGGTTTGATTATTCAGGCCTGCTCAGTGTCTCGGAGGTTGCTACTCTGATTGTTCCCCTGTATTCTAGAGGATTCTAAAAATATAGTGGGCGAAAGAACAGAGTAAGCAGTCTAAATATTTGTAGCGGTACCCCCGAAGGGGCTGCTTAAGTTTGTTCACTCCGCCACTCTGCCTCTCAACCCCAAGAACTGTCTCAGCCCACACTGGCACACCTGGCAATAGAGTAAGTGCAAGGACCAATGAAAAGCACACACTTTATAATAAAACACAGAGATCAGCTTTACTGTAGACCTCTATGGGAAGTAATAAACATTAACAACAGGTATATGTTAGGAGAATCAAGAGAACAACAAATACTGTGACCGAAAGCAATATAACTCACTTTTACACTCAGGCTGCTCCTAGGGGATTCCAACCATGAATAACCCCAAGAGCAGAGGCAAACACTTAAATGGCAACCTCAAAGTGGATTTAACTCCTCTTCATAAAATGGGCCCCATGATGTCCAAGCAAAAGGAGAGCAGAAGAATGACTCTCTGTTGTGTCAGACTTCTCCCTTCTAACCCCCGACACCATGACCCCAATAGGAAAACACTGTACCCAACTGATGTTTAATAGCTACTTTCAAGGTAAAGCTACTCCCTCACACACCATGCAATATAGAGGCCTGACTACGCATGCGCGTGCTCGTATGGCACCAGTAACTTTAGTCTCTTTGTAACTGGATGAATGTTGGGATCTTCAGCTAGCCACTTTCGTTGGTGCACTTAAACTCCTTAAACACTTAAACTGTAATTGTAATCCTGTGGCAGTATTTGTATAGCAAAGTGAACATGGTGTCTGTTCAGCAGGGCCATCTACACAACCCAGTGCCTGGTGAATATGAGCAAGGTATGATGTCTCTGTATGTGTGCAATGTTCCTGTCATCTGACAGTGGGAGAAATCCCTCTCACCAGATCCTGTGACAAAGGCCCAAACGATCGTCCTGGAAATGACAGGTTCCTCTGGTCACCTCACGATGAGCACTTCACACTGTCAGTGTAGGCACTGTACTGTAGACCACTTCTCTCAGTTTGGATGTTCCTTTGTCTGATGCAGATCACCAAGCATGCAGTGCACTGCCCAACAGCACTTCTTTGCCAGGTCCAATCTCTCTCCTGCCACATGCCATCTCCTCCCCTCAGGGAGAAAAACCCCAAGATGGATCCCTTCACTCTGCTCTCCCCCAGCATGATGGCTTTCGTAGTTCTTTTATAATTCTATCTCCATATTAGCCTATAAGGCCGTTTCGGTTCAAGACTCCATCGTCCACAATGCTTTGCACCTGCACTTCCTGTTTGACAGAGTCCTTGTCATTGGCTCCTTTAATGGCTCTTGTAATTGGCTCTCTCACTCTCTTACAGTCTGAGAGGAGAAGGGGGGGCTGAAATCCCTCACTGCTTTGTCTGTGTCAGGGCAAGTGTCAGGTTACACAGGAGAGGCCAGTCAGCAGATCACAGCCATGAGACAGGATTAATATCTCCTGCTACATATTTATTGAACTTTAGCCAATCACTGGGGAGGTGTGCCAAGTAAGTGGTGGGAAACACCATAAATAGTCTTGTGCCTAAGACAGGAGCAGTAGACTTCCTGGGTCCAGTCCTCCTGGAGGAGACCCCTAGGGCAGGATTATTGGAGATGCCACCTAGAAGATATTGAGGTCCCAGCTGAAGCTTTAGCTGGGGGGCCTATTTACAAAGCCTTGTCCTGGAGTTTGTTTGGGTCTGGAGAAGCTCACTGGAGAGTGTCAGGAGGAAGTTGGGGAAAAGGTGTTCAGCTGTCCTATGGTGGTGTGAGTCTGTATCTCCCTCACTGGAGACAGCTGGATATCAGAAGGAGGCAACTGGTGATCCTATGGCTTTGTGAGTAAATTACCCCAATGCTAGAAGTTAGTGACTGTGTAGCTTTTGGTCTTTTGGGAAAAGTCCTAGTCACCTGTCAACATTAGTGATTCTGTGGGATAGTTTTTGTATAGCTCAGCAACCTAGACAAGAATCCTCAAAGTGTTCAGTTTATCACTTTGTGGGTATCCCTTGCTCCCTTCACCCCATCCAAATCCATTGTTCCAATGAAACCCTAAAAAGAACCTCTAGGCTGTTCCTTCAAGCCAGTGGAAGAATGTGGTGTGCCTGGCTGTGTGTGCTTTAATTAAGGGGATAGGAAACAAGTTCACCAGTGGCTCTTTTGGGGGTGTGCTACATAAAATTGCAACTCAATTTCACCAGCTCAGTGCTGGTTCAACAGAAGTGGATATTGGGTTCAGAGCATACTGGTAGTAGGTGAAGGTCTTCTGGATTTGGTCACCTGTGCTGGTAACTCATTATTAATACAGCGCCAAACTTTAAATGCTATCTCAACATGTTCTTTCTTTCTGATGTTCCTTTGCAGTAAAATGTTCTCCCTCTTCTCCCTCACAGGAACTAAAAGACCCTCATTGTAGGGATGAGATGGCAGCTGCTCGAGGAGCTCTGAAGAAGAATGCCACAATGCTGTACACAGCCTCACAAGCTTTCCTCCGCCACCCAGATGTGGCAGCAACCAGGGCCAACCGTGACTATGTATTCAAACAAGTGCAGGAGGCTATTGCAGGGATCTCCAACGCTGCACAGGCCACCTCACCCACTGATGAGAAGCAGGGCCATACAGGCATTGGGGAGCTGGCCGCGGCCCTCAATGAGTTTGATGTGAGTATCTCAGATGCCATGTCTGTATTTTTACATGTATTTCTGTATCAGGGTCATTTTTGTGAAAAGCACAAAATGCCTCCTAAGGAGTCAAACTGATCCCTGCCTAGATCTGTGTGAAGGCAACATTACCAGTACTCCAAGAGCCTTCATGGTACATCTCTATTTAAAGGGTTAGTTTACTTTCACCAAAAAATGGTCTATGCAGATAAGGCGGTGTCCAGTCCTCACTACACATTTCCTTGTGTGCAATTTGACATGAAGCTAAACCCTCCTATTCTGCAATAAGGCAGACTAAATGTATTGTGATTACTGAATGTAGTCTTGAAGCTTTATTAACAAAACAGGATGGATGAAACTATTGAAAAAACATATAATACATGCAATCAATGTATGAAGCATACAGAAAATACAATGAAATGATTAGGCTGTAGATGGCAATAAGCCCATGCTCACCAGCGATGTTGCCTGTAAAGGATGTAAGTTCAGTCCATGATATGTGCTGCAGAGAATTATGGCTGGTTCCTTTCCCTCAATTCTTAAGATGGAGTCTGAGCTCCTAGGATGCACTTTTCCTTTTCTTAAAATGAAGATAAAGGGGTGTTCTGTCCTCACTACACATTTCCTTGAGTGTAAATTGAAATTCAGTTAAACCCTCCTATTCTGTAATAAGCCAGACTGATTATGATCTTGAAGCTTTATTAACAGAACAGAATGGAAACTATTTAAAACATAGATAAGAAATACCTACAATAATGTATGAAGCATACAGTAAACACAATGAAATGATTAGGCTGTAGATGGCAATAAGCTCATGCTCACCAGCGATGTTGCCTGTAAAGGATGTTATCTAGTTGTAAGTTCATGTATGATATGCTGCAGAGAATTATGGGGTTCCTTTCCCTCAATTCTTAAGATGGAGTCTGAGCTCCTAGGATGCACTTTTCCTTTTCTTAAAATGAAGATAAAGGGGTGTTCTGTCCTCACTACACATTTCCTTGAGTGTAAATTGAAAATCAGTTAAACCCTCCTATTCTGTAATAAGCCAGACTGATTATGATCTTGAAGCTTTATTAACAGAACAGAATGGAAACTATTTAAAACATAGATAAGAAATACCTACAATAATGTATGAAGCATACAGTAAACACAATGAAATGATTAGGCTGTAGATGGCTAAAACAATTTACTATTGATGCTGCCGGTAAGGGATTTAAGTTCAGTCCACGACATGTGCTGCAGAGAATTCCCTTAGTTCATAAAGTGTTACTAAATCCCGGACCCTGCATTCACTATATTTGGTCTCCCCGGACCCTGCATTCACTATATCTGGTCTCCCCGGACCCAGCATTCACTATATCCGGTCTCCCAGGACCCTGAATTCACTAAATCTGGTCTCCCAGACCCTGCATTCACTATATCTGGTCTCCCCGTACCCTGCATTCACTATATCCGGTCTCCTTGACCCTGCATTCACTATATCTGGTCTCCCCGGACCCTGCATTCACTATATCTGGTCTCCCCGGACCCTGCATTCACTATATCTGGTCTCCTCGGACCCTGCATTTACTATATCCGGTCTCCCGGACCCTGCATTCACTATATCTGGTCTCCTCGGACCCTGCATTCACTATATCTGGTCTCCCCCGGACCCTGCATTCACTATATATCTGGTCTCCCCGGACCCTGCATTCACTATATCTGGTCTCCCCGGACCCTGCATTCACTATGTCCGGTCTCCCAGGACCCTGCATTCACTATATCAAGTCTCCTAGGACCTTGCATTCACTACATCTGCTCTCCCCGGACCCTGCATCCACTATATCTGGTCTCCCCGGACCCTGCATTCACTATATCTGGTCTCCCCAGACCCTGCATTCACTATATCTGCTCTCCCCCGGACCCTGCATTCGCTATATCCGGTCTCCCAGGACCCTGCATTCACTATATCTGGTCTCCCACAGTACACACAACACAGAAATGCAATTATTTTAGTAAATATAAACTGCTAAATACCTTTTCTCATCAGCAGTTAGAGCAGTCGTGTGACTTCAGCAGAGCACTGGTTAAAGCTTGTAGGAGTTTTCTTTCTGCTCTAGGAGGATGTGAAAGTCCTGATCCTCTGCTTGGACAGTGCTGGTTGGCCCTGTGCTGATCACATGCACTCTCCCAAGAAAAAAAAAAAACTCTCTAGCAATACACACCAAACTGAGCATGTGCATGTGACTACGGATTCAGTCTGTATAAGGTGGTCATTTCAACAAGAGGAGGGGCAGAGAAGACAGGATCAAACAGCCTTTCTAAACCCTTAGGTTCCACAGTGAGTACAACAAGCATGTTTTACTGCATATACAGACTGATTTTACTGAAAATGAAATAAAGTGCAACAGCGCTAGGTGTCTAATAGTTATTCAGATAAAAAATATGAGTATGTGGATTCATAAAATGATTAATTTGAGCTGCTAGCATAGAAAGTAAACCTCAAGAAACTTTGGATAGTATGTCATAAAAATATGCAGCGCTCATAGGTTAGAGATTAGCCTGATCTCATATATTAGAGAAAACCTGATAGCATATAACAGATCTATATTAGATAAAATACATGATATAGATAAATAATAAAAAGGAATAAATAAACATATTAAACTCGTGACTTCTGTGGTGCATCCAGGATTGAGAAACCAGAGGAAAAGTTTGTGACTCTTGTGTTGGAAAAACTGAGAATAGCTTGCACTAACCAGATGTCTCAGCACATGGAGCATGGAGTAATTAAGACCTACTCCTGGTACTCTGAAAGGAAGCCACTGCAGGGGATGATGTCATCTGATCTCTCGCCACTAGATGTCATGTTCCCAGGACAGCAGGGATCCCAGAGATATACATCAGCCAATGGAAGGATTAATCCAGCAAGCCAGCCAGCAGCACCTGAGGGCACCTCCCTTACTGTCTGGACATACCACATAGCTGCCCCATGTTCCTGTGATCACTATTTGTAAGTGTGTTTTTTACTATTTGAAATTACTACGGAAATAAATACAATACTACACTATCAAAGCTTCTGGCCTGTGGCTCTCTTTTTTGGAGGGAGCCCGGGCCATTTGAAGGTGCTCGGTTCCTCTTGGTCTCCTGTGTGCTGCTGGCTGGCTTGCTGGATTAATCCTTCCATTGGCTGATGTATATCTCTGGGATCCCTGCTGTCCTGGGAACATGACATCTAGTGGCGAGAGATCAGATGACATCATCCCCTGCAGTGGCTTCCTTTCAGAGTACCAGGAGTAGGTCTTAATTACTCCATGCTCCATGTGCTGAGACATCTGGTTAGTGCAAGCTATTCTCAGTTTTTCCAACACAAGAGTCACAAACATTTCCTCTGGTTTCTCAATCCCGGATGCACCACAGAAGTCACGAGTTTAATATGTTTATTTATTCCTTTTTATTATTTATCTATATCATGTATTTTATCTAATATAGATCTGTTATATGCTATCAGGTTTTCTCTAATATATGAGATCAGGCTAATCTCTAACCTATGAGCGCTGCATATTTTTATGACAGACTGATTTTACTGTTGTGGGTTTAGCAACACTTTAAGATGGAGTCTGAGCTCCCAGGATGCACCTGTTTCCTTTCTTAGAATGAAGAATGATGGTAGTTTTTATTATCTAAATAGATTCTGGTTTCTACAAAACAATACATTTATTCTGGGCTCTATCTTGTGGTCAAAGTTAATAATGCAGGCTGAATTTCCCTGCTTGAAGCAGAACAGGGTGTCTGTAGATAAAAACAAACTGACTAAAGTTGAATAATACCCTTGCTATAGGTGTAGACCATTTAAGTACCTCCTGAAATCTGACTGGAATACTCCCATGGTGTAGCTAAGGCCTAATCCTTATTGCTCACCTCCGCCATCACAGAAGTGAGATCTCAAATGCTGAGCTCAAAGCTACCGCATCATGGGGGGAGAGAGAGAGCACGTGAGAGGGGTTAAAATCAGAGCAAGAGCTCCCTCCTGTGATATTAGGGCTCATGCACACTGCAGCTGATAAACTCATGTTTAGGAGCTGTTCAGCGTTTTTTTTCAGCAGCCCCTGAACTCACCCTAATGTTTTCCTATGTGTCTATGTATACATCTCAGGCATTTTTACAGTCGGTTTTTTTGAACGCAGAAAACTTATGTCCAGCAGTTGATTTTATCAGCGTTTCAAACGCAAAACGCGGCTAAACGTGGCAAATCGCGTTTATAAGTGTTTGTGTTTTTTTAACTCTTCCAGTTCCTGATGCTGTCCAGAGCCTTTTTTCATCATGAAAAATGCATGCAAAGTGTTTTCAAGGTACTCAGATGGACAAAATACTGAACACAGGATGTTCCTACCAAGCTTGTCACACATTGTAATGACCGATTCACACCTCAGACCTCTCCCACCCTTCCAAACAAAAAATATGTTAATGACCATTCACACCTCAAATTCCTCATGAAGACCCCCTGCCAGGTGGCCTTAATAGCTCACCCGCCAGACACCTTTCCCACCCTTGGAAACAAAAGAAATGTTAATGAGCAACTCACGCCTGCTAATCTCAACACATACTGCTGTCTCTGCTTCTACTCTCTGTATTTCTCTGAAACAGTCTGAAATAGTTAATAATTTACCACTTTTCAGTGCATTCTGGGAATTTGGGGAAAAAACGCTTCTAAACGCAAACACACATAAACGCGTTATGCAAACGCGGCTAAACAGACAGTTTTTAGCCTACGTTTTCCAGCAGTCAGTTTCCATCGTTCAGAAGTGTCCCGTGTACATGGGGCCTTAGCGATGAACAGTCAACAACTAGGCTTCTCTTTGCAATGTCCTGGGAGTCTACCTGCATAGGCAATTTTTTTGTAAAGGTGAACTAACCCTTTAAAAATATTAAAAAAAAATGACTCCTACACTGCCCTCTAGTGTCCTTAAATAATATCAGCCAGCTAGAACTAAATGTGTATCACACACAAAACGTGTACCCATATGTAAATGCATATTCCAGTGCAGCGCTGTGAAAAAAAACAAGAACTGAAATATAAAAAACATCTTATCTATGCTTCTTATCAAAATATGTCCAACATAGTCCCAAAATTGTGTTGTAACAAGTCATCCTGCCTGCTGGAAATTAATTGTTTTGTGACTTCAAAACAAATCCCAATCCCCTGTTATGCACTTCACAAATCCACGTAGTGTCCACCACTTCACCACAATGGTGCGCTCATCTTCTTTAAATGACCTGCTTGTTGTAGTGGTCTACAAACACTTCTTCTCTCTGTGCGGGACCACTTGGTGCCCACCGCTTGAACAAGCTGAAGTTAGAAGCTGATTGGCTACCATGCACAGCTAAACCAGATTTTGCACCCTCCAGTTTTAGGACCAGTTCTCACTACATGCGTTTCAGTTGCTTTTTTTTCTGCATCCAAAATGCACAGAAAGTAGGTTACATGGTTGTCAATGTCATAGTTCACACCAGTGTTTGAAGTTCTGGTGCGTTCCGGTTGCAGAAAAAAAAAGCAGAACAGACTGCATTTTTCCTGCACAGAACTGTACTGGAACGCGGGAACATGAATCAAAAATGCACTGGAACACACATGTCCCTATTTGAATTGAAGAAAAAGAGAGGGGGAAAAATGAAAAATGCATCTGGACTGCGTTTCTATAGTGTGAACCCGCCCAGGGGCGGACTGACCATTTGGAAACTCAGGCACTGCCCGAGAGCCCGTGGTCAGTAGGGGGCCCCATGAGATGCCCCTGGTACCTTTTTCATAGGCTTTTTTGAGTTTGGGCAAGGACACAGGGACCCCATGATTCCCTATTGCCCGGGGGCCCATGAGTTGTCAGTCCGCCCTTGAACCGGCCCTAAGTAAATCAACCCCAAGGAGTACAAACTGCATGATGCTGCCACCCCCAGTGGGTGTGTCATTGACAGGCTAGGCTCACTGGAGTCATCTAGTGGCCAAGGAGAAGTACTGTAGGGAGACATCTCCAGATAGAAGATGAGTATTGGAACAAAAACTACTATTTTTTAACAGGTGCAAGGGAGCAAAATGAAAGGAATAATACAAGAAAAGACTTCTGTTAAGCCTGAACTTATTGAAATCACAGTCCAATATAACACACCATCCCAGCATATTTGTAAATGACCAGACAGTGCTAAAGTGATTTTGGAATGTGCAAGAGAGAATTAAAAAAAATGAGATACAATGTTGTTTTCTTTACTTTTTAGTGAGATTATTCTTTATTAGACATACCCGGTTCATTTCCTTCCAAATAGAAATTCAGACAAAAATGTTTGTTATTTGGAAATTCAGATGTATGTAAATCTCTGATTGACAACAGTAACGAACTTCAATGAATCCAAAATAACGTTTAAAGAAACAACAAAATGTATTTGCTTCACTTGGATGTTTGAAGCATCTGAATGAAACTAATGATCCAAATTGATTTGATAACAGCTGGGATTCCCACTGTCAGCAAAATGTGAACTAAACAAATGCCAGTTGAAAAACAATTTAAAAAAAAAATAGTGTGGGGGTCCCCCAAATCCTTACCAGGCCCTTCAGGTCTGGTATGGATATTGAAGGTAACCCCACACCAAAATTAAGAAAAACAGTGTGGGGTCCCCCCCCCAAATCCATACCAGACCCTTAGGTCCGGTATGGATTTTAAGGGGAACCCCATGCCAAAATATAAAAAAAAAATCAGTGTGAGCTCCATTTCAAAATCCATACCAGTCTGGCAGGCTAGGAAAGGGGGGGATGAGTGAGAGCCCCCCCACCTTCCTAACCATACCAGGCCACATGCCTTCAACCAGG